CAGGAGCTGCTCTACGTCGTGCCATTTGTTGCCAAAGTCTTGGAATCCAGCGTCAGGAGCGTGGTAAGTCTGGTGGGAGCCGAGCGGAATGGCCCCGAAGCTCAAGAGTAAACGTCCCTTACTTGTAACAGCCCCTAAACTCCCTCATGAGGTGGTCAACTGGCTCCTTCTGCTCTTGGTTCCTTCTGCAGGTTTTCAGGCCCCCAAACCCTTGGACCATGGCGATCATGAATGTATTGGCCGAGCTGCACCAGGAGCATGACTTAAAAGTAAGCGGTGCTTCACCTCTTGGGGATCCCCATCACTTCCTGTTTGAGAATAAACATCATGGAGTGGATTTGGTTGTAGGAAGGCTTATTTATTTATTGACAGTATTTCTATTCTGCCCCAGGGGGACTCAGGGCAGATTACAATGCACATTTTCCCCACGTGGTCAGCCTGTGAATCACACATTTGGTATATTCCTGCGCGAGCGCAGGAGTATACCAAATGTGTGAATTCGCAGGCGACCACTCGGGAAACTATGTTTACAGGTAAGCAACCTATATATACATGGCAAACAATCAATACCATTTACACATACAACATATATAGACAGACACAGAGGCAATTTAGCATTCCAGCTTCATAAGGGTATGCTCAGTTCCAGCCACCGGGGGAGCTGCTGCTTCACCGTCCACTTGTGACACCGGGTTTTTTGATGGAGTACTTCCTCATTCTTCTGCACGCTGCTGGAAGTTTTTATGGCGTTGTAAATTAGTTTATTTATTTATTTACATTTATATGCTGCCCTTCTCACCCCGAAGGGGACTCAGAGCAGCTTACCAGTTATATATATATGCAATGTATTATATTATTAGCATAGTATAAGATCAGTATTATATATTACTATATTGTACTGTACCATTATATTGTAATATTATTATGTAATATAAATATATAATCATAATACATTATTATTATTAGTAGTAGTATTATATTGCATTACATTATAATATTATAAATATTATATGTATATACAATATATTATATTTTATTACATTATATTATTAGAATAGCACAGGAGACATCTATTTATTTATTTATTTATAGTATTATATGATATTATAATTATATATTTATATTATATGTAATATTACTAATAATATGACCATTTAATAGTATATTGTAATATTATTTGTAACATTACATGTAATATAAATATGTAATTATAATGTATTATTAGTATTATATATTATTACATTATAATATTATAAATATTATATGTCTATGCAATATATTATATTACATTACATTATATTATATTATGATTAAATTAGCCTCCCCGCCTAAAGCGGGACTTAAATTTCCTACTTGACAGATTCAATTTGTCTTTCAGGCTGGATAGGTCAACAGCAAGGTAGACTATTAATGGTTGGGAGCTCTCTCCAACCTGGGCAGGCTTCAAACTCATGATCTCTCAGTCAGTAGTGATTTAATGCTAGCTGGCTACTAACTAGCTGCACTGCAGCCAAGTTAGTGAAATTGCTTAAACACTGATCTTGCTCCCACTTGCTCCAATCTTCACTTTTTGCATTTGTAATGTTTTGATTTGGGATTCGGGGTGGAAGATCAACAGAAGGGAGAGCATTTTGCTGTGGGTTAGATTGAGATTGGTATGTTATTAATACCTGAACCGATTGACTGTTGCACAGCTGAACCTGAAGTTTGAGATCGAAGTGCTCTGCAAGAACCTGGCCCTCGACATCAACGAACTGAAGCCGGGGAACCTCCTGAAAGACAAGGACCGCTTGAAGGCCCTCGAGGAGCAGCTCTCGGCCCCAAAGAAAGACGTCAAGCAGCCCGAAGAACTGCCGCCCATCGTCACCACGAGTAAGCGGCGTAGTGTCCCTTCGGTTTAGGCCTCTGTGTGCCTAAACTGACTCAGAACAGTGTTGGTTTTAATGTGACAATATTTAGAATTCTGAATTTTTATTTAGAGCAGGCCTGTTAGGAATTGTGGGAGTTGAAGTCCAAAATGGATGGAGGACCAAAGTTTGCCCAGCCTTACTTTGGAGTCCTCAATATCCACACTTTCCAGCTACCAACGTTTCTTACACCAGGCTACTAAAGTGTTACACTTCTTAGACATACATATTCTGTATTTATGTATTTATTTATCTACTATATTTATTTATCTTAATATATAAAAAGCTTCTGGGCGTCGTGAGAAGCCTAAAAACAAACTATGGGGCCAACTGACATCACATTTGGCCTCCAAACTTCTCATACCGCAAGGTATGACCAACAATTATAAACAAACCCAAAACTGTGAAAATAGCTTCAAAATTAGCATGTGCAAAGCTAGCCCCGCCCCCCTCTTCTGCGAGAGGGGGAAACAAACAGCCATGGCCGTCCCTTCTTCGGGAGCCTTTTCCATCGGTCAGGCAAGGAAGGCAAGAGGGAAAGGGAAGGGGGTGAGGGAGGGAGGAGCCACGCCAGGAGGAGGCTGCATAGGCCT